GAGATAATAATGTAGATCAAACATGGTTTAAATGCATTCTTTGGCCAATCCTTCTCTAAAATCTTAAAGCAATTTGTACAAGTTTTAGCAGCATTTAATGAATACTTCTGCCAGTGTGATCATAACACAGCAGTAGGTGAAGGAACAAAAGAAGAAAAAAATGTATTTTTAAAACCCCTAATGCTGTAATAAATTTCTTTAACATTACAAAAAAGAATTCGATAAGTTACTCAATACTACACGCTTAAATTGTTTCTTGTTACAAAATATGAAGTTAAGAATCTTAATATAATTAAATTAAAGCGTGCTAATGAATGAGTGACCTGTTTCTAATATTTTTATTATAGTAGAAAAGGTTAGAGAAGAAGCTTTTCTACACCACTTCTACTGTTGCAGACTTGGCAGAACTGAAGGGTTATCTTGAGCTTTGGGATCTGCATTTTTACTGTAACTTATTCTTCCACCTCATTTTTTATTATAATGATCTTGTTTTAAATGTACAGTTTCTTCGACTTTAACTGGTACAATTTACAGTGTTTTTTAATCTGCTGTTCACTTCAATTATTGCAAGTCAAAACCTGATTGAGACCCTCTTCCGGATTTGCATTTCTCAGCAAATTGAGAAATCAACTGCCGTCCATTGTTTTTCTTTCACAGTAAATATTTTGAGTTGCCAAGTTTTTAGCTCAAAAATTATCAAACAGTAACTTTTTTGCTTTGACAGGCTATTTTACTGTGTTTTTTCGTATACATTTTGGTTTGTTGTTTTCTTCAAATATTATGAGTTAAAGTGAACATTTCTTGTTTGTGCAGTTTGGCAATGAATATCAAATTGCAAAACTTTTACAGCTCTGGTAGATGGTATATACCTTTCTCTATAATGGTGACTTCTTTTTTTAGTGTTTTCTTGAGGGTAACCTTTGAGAGTGTACAAAGAATCTTGTAAAAACTATTCTTTTTGGAGTCTATTCTCTGCTGTGTTTGGTGTACATAATGAGACCTATTTATCTGGGTTTGGGAGTTATTCCATTGGGGGAAAACAGGCCTTTTTGTGCTAGTTTCTTTAATGGATATTGTCTAATCCTTAATTTTGAGATCTGAGCTATAAAAATCTCTTGGAATTATTGGAGTTGCTGTCTTTTTGTTTGGTTCTTGAATTTATTGAGTTGTTTTCTTGCTGCCTTACAGAGTGAATTCACCACCATTCTGTAGGGAAAGAAGAAAATGGCTCCATTTTTTGACTGGGGGGCTAAAGATTCACCAAAGGGAACTCCAGTGGTAGTGAGAATGGAGAACCCCAATTTCTCATTTGTGGAAATTGATGGCCCTGATGCTGCATTTGAGCCAGTCGATAAGAGCCGGGGCAAGAATGCCAAACAAGTTAGATGGGTTTTGCTTCTTAAGGCTAATCAAGCCGTTGGGTGTGTTTCTTGGCTTGCTTCCATTTTGTGGGCGGTTCTTGGAACTATCAATAGAAGGTTGATTTTCAGACAAGGTGTAGATATAGCGAGTGAGAAGCTAGGAAAGGGTAAATTGATGTTCAAAATTATCAAAGCCTTCTTAGTGACTTCCCTGTTAATTCTAGCCTTTGAGGTTCTTGCTTACTTGAAAGGTTGGCATTATTTTGAAAATCCGGATTTGTACATTCCACATGCTTCTGATATCCAAGGATTGTTCCACTTGGTTTATGTTTCTTGGCTGGAATTCCGGGCTGAATATATTGCGCCATTCGTTCAATCTCTTTCAGTGTTTTGTATTGTTCTGTTCCTAATCCAATCTGTGGATCGTATGTTTCTCTGCTTGGGATGCTTATATATCAAGTTCAAGAAGATTAAACCAACCATTAACGGGGATCCATTTAAATCAGATGACCTCGAAGGATCACTTGACAATTACCCTATGGTTCTTGTCCAAATCCCAATGTGTAATGAGCGGGAGGTACTGTATTCTTTCCTCTAATTTTATAGTTTGATTATTCTCTTTAGTGTCTTCATTTTGTTGCAGTATATTGTCTTTTGGAATCGAATGCGTGTCACTTACTATCGTTGGCAATTCTGAACATGGTTTTTTCCTGAATAAAATGGTTATTAGGAAAATACTTAAACAGATTAAAAGTATATTGATGAGTTATGGAGTTATAAACTGAGGCTAACGCTCTGATTTGCTTAAAAGTCATTGTAAATTTGGATGGGGACAGAGTCAGGAGTCAAAATTGCAATTAGATATTAGCATCAGTACATTATTTTCTGTTAAGGATGTAAATAATTTTTTGTACGGTATTACTATCTTGCTTTCTGCTGAACCTTTGCTCTGGTTTGGCATAGGTATATGAGTTGTCCATTTCAGCAGTATGTCAATTAGATTGGCCGAAAGAGCGTCTGCTAATTCAAGTTCTTGATGACTCTGATGATGAAAACATTCGACAGTTGATTAAGGCTGAGGTTTCGAAGTGGAGGCAACAGGGAATTAACATAATCTATCGGCACCGTTTTATTAGGACTGGTTATAAAGCTGGGAATCTCAAGTCTGCAATGAGCTGTGATTATGTGAAGGATTATGAATTTGTTGCAATATTCGATGCAGATTTCCAGCCGAGTGCAGATTTTCTCAAGCAGACAGTTCCTCATTTTAAGGTTCGTCTAAACTGGTTGTCAATCGTGAAAAGTTCGTGGAATTACATCATTGTTCTCCATAGCTAACTCTCAATCCTTTGCTGCAGGATAATCCTGAGCTAGGATTGGTTCAGGCTAGATGGGCATTTGTCAACAAGGATGAAAACTTGTTGACTCGTCTCCAGAACATAAACTTGTGTTTTCATTTTGAGATTGAACAGCAGGTTAATGGGGTATTCTTTAATTTTTTTGGTTTTAATGGAACTGCTGGTGTTTGGAGAATCAAAGCATTGGAAGAGTCTGGAGGTTGGCTTGAACGTACAACTGTTGAAGATATGGACATAGCTGTTCGTGCACATCTCAATGGCTGGAAGTTCATATATCTAAATGATGTTAAGGTACCAATTTAGTGCTGTGAATATTGACATTTTAAATTAGTAAAATTCTTCTGTTCTTCGGTACAAATATTCTCAATGAGTTTAATTGGCCTCATGTGAGTTTTCTATTTATGAAGTATCCATTAAAATTAATCAAATGGCTAACTTCGTGTTGGAAATAACATAGGTCCTTTGCGAAGTTCCAGAGTCTTTTGAAGCGTACAGGAAGCAACAACATCGTTGGCATTCCGGTCCTATGCAGCTTTTCCGGTTGTGCCTGCCATCTATAATAACTTCAAAGGTACTTTTCGTGCTTGTATATCTTTATAAGTAGTTTCGAGATGAAAATATCATCAATAATAAATATCAAACTTTTTGCAGATATCGATATGGAAGAAAGCAAACTTAATATTTCTCTTCTTTTTGTTGAGAAAATTGATCCTTCCTTTCTACTCTTTCACATTATTTTGCATAATTCTTCCTTTAACCATGTTTATCCCTGAAGCCGAGCTTCCTATGTGGGTTATATGCTATGTGCCAATTATTATGACATTACTTAACATTCTCCCAGCACCAAAAGCCATTCCGTTCATCGCCCCCTATCTCCTTTTCGAAAACACCATGTCTGTAACCAAATTCAACGCAATGGTATCGGGACTCTTCCAATTGGGCAGTTCGTACGAGTGGATTGTGACAAAAAAAGCAGGTAGGTCTTCGGAATCCGACTTACTGGCTGTTGTTGACAAGGATATGAAAGCATTGATTCAACCAGAGATCATCCGAGGTGCTTCTGAAAGCGACCTTTCTGAGTTGAACCTGTTCAAAGAACAAAAGCCTCGACCGGTTAAGAAATCTAACAAGATATACAGGAAAGAGCTAGCCCTTGCTTTCCTATTGCTTACAGCTTCAGTCAGAAGCCTTTTATCTGCTCAAGGACTTCATTTCTACTTTCTGCTTTTCCAAGGAGTAACCTTCCTTCTTGTTGGCCTTGACTTGATTGGAGAGCAAATCAGTTAAGAAGAGACAATGACAGCAAACGAATGGACGTGCCAAAAAGTCACCATTGAACATAGCTTGTACACTCCTCCACATATTGGTTCATTCAACCAATCTTTTAGAGTGAATATCAGTCACGAGTCAATAAAGGTTTGCGACATCATGCAAGTCATTTTATATATTTATCGTTCTCTTTTTTACATTTTATCCATGTCAGATAGGACGACGGTCACAGTAGTTCTCCACCCGTAGCTATTATGATTAAACTTTTATTATAGGTCGAAGAAAAATCATTTTTTCCCGTTATTCTCAATGTTGCACCATTTATTGTATGGATGGCTTTGAGTGTGTTCTGGTGTATCATATTTCACCTTATAATGTACATGGTTGAACTTGATTCAAGGTAAATTAGCTTCCTGTTTTTTCAGGATTACATACCTGAGAACTAAACTTATTGGCCGCATACCTATTGCCCAAATAGCAAGTTGATACTCAACCTTGCGTTTTAAAGATCAAGTTACAGCAATTTTCCCTACTCAAAGTTCATCAGTTGCACAAACTCTCTATGCAATCAAGTCCCACCCACCCATCCATCCTATTAAAAGTCTACATTGTTAAAAAAAAGTAGCCCAAGTCCTTAATTGTTATCTATTTACTTCATGTCTAATTTGTTCTCATAAGATGATCGCTCATTTGAGAACATTAGTCTGAAAATTTGTGTGCTCGTTTTTTAGTCTTATTCGAATCTAATTGCTCGTTTAAGTTTTGACGGATTCTGATACCAGATATCCAACCCCAACACCTCAGTCTGCCAGTGATAAACGAAGGTGTCAGCAGGCCTAAAAGAGTGGGGAAAACAATTTCAATCTTGTTGGGGCTGAGGCAATTGAGGGACCATAAAAAATCTGTAGGGATGCAACTTGTGGATTTCAATCTTAGTGAAGAAAGATGGCAACTTCAATGGGTTGTTAGTGATATAAATTATGGGACACTTTAGTCCTTTTTTTGGCCACTCTGCTTTGGTGGGCACCATTAAATATTTGGCATTGCCAGGAGGAACTATGGATTTTGACACCCTACCTACAACAATTCTTGGCTGCTTGCATTAAATTCTTCTACATACTGTTCATTTCTTTGTTATCAATTGGATACGGGATTCTTGTTCTCTGGTAGATTATTGAGTCAATATCAATGTTACGAAAGGCACATGTCATATTTTAAATATTATAAATCAATAAATAAAAGGGAACAATACGGAGGTTTAGTTTTACCAATTTCAAATTTAAGAATTTAAGTTTAAAATTTCAAATTTCAGATATTTTTAAATTTTATTTATAAATTAAGTAATTAAACATATATTTTATTAATAAAAGATAGGGTTAATTTCACAAACGGTCACTGAAATTACTTGAAAATCACAAAACGATCACTGAAGTTTAAAACTTGCAGAAACGGTCATTGAAGTTTAAATTTCTTTCACAAACGGTCACTGAATTTTTAGATTTTTTGGGCAAGTTTTACGGCGATTTTTGGATACCATTAGAAAGCCCACAATATTCTCTTCAATTACCACCAAAAATCTCCTCATAAATCCTAGGGATTCGGCCGAAATATACCCACGAAGCGGCTATCGAAAAATCTGAAAATTTGCTCAGATTTTCAGATTTTTTGGCTGAGTTTGCGACAATTTTCCGGCAAATTTCGACCACCAATACCGCCAGTTTCGAATACCGTTGGAAAGCCCACAATATCCTCTTCAATAAACACCAAAACTCTCCTCATAACTCCAAGGGATTCGGCCGGAATAATCCCACGAAATCAGCTACCAAAAACATCTGAAAATTTGCCCAGTTTAGGTAGCTGATTTCATGGGTTTATTCCGGCTGAATCCGTTAGAGATATGGGGAGATTTTTCATGGTAATTAAAGATGACATTGTGTGCTTTCCAAAGGTATCCGAAACTGGAGATATTGGTGTTCGGAAGTTGCCGAAAAATTGCCGCAAACTCGCCTAAAAAATCTGAAAATCTAGGCATATTTTCAGATTTTTCGTTAGACGACTTCGTGGGTATATTTTGGCCGAATCCCTTGAAGTTATGGGGAGATTTTTGGTGGTAATTGAATAGGACATTGTGGGCTTTCCAACGGTATCCAAATCTGGCGGTCTTGGTGGTCGGAAGTTGTCGGAATTCGCCACAAAACTTGCCTAAAAAATCTGAAAAATCAATGACTGTTTATAAAAGAAATTTAAACTTTAGTGACCGTTTCTGCAAGTTTTAAATTTCAGTGACCGATTTTTGATTTTCAGGTAACTTCAGTGACCGTTTGTGAAATCAACCCATTAAATATGTTAAGGTTACAATTCCATATAATTTGATCACAA